AAGCTTCCCAAGGTCTGATTCCCTTAATATATGTTTCGAAGCGTTAACACATATCAGTTTTACGTCATTTATGGCACATGTATATTTTGCCTGCCTCCCTCTCCAGACTGTGAACACTAAAAAGGCAGAGATAAAAAATGTCTGGGTTCACCACAATTCCTTAGTATCCAGCACAATGCATGGCCCTTGGTGAATATTCAATAATATATGCTTGATAAATTAAGGGGCCACTGAAATATTTACCAGGCAAAACAACTACTATTGCTCTCTAATGATCAACAGTTCATAGCATCGCTGACTAACCGAACATTCTGTGATAATGGAACTGTTCTATATCTGCACTGTCTAAGACGGTGGCCACTAGTCAAGTGTGGATACTGAGCACGTGAAAAGTGGTTAGTATAACAGAGGCACTGAATTTTAAATTTTACTTACTTTTAATTAACACGTAAAGAGTCATACCTGGCTAGTGACTACTATATTGAACAGCCCAGGTCTATGTAGCCTTTCCTCTGTCTTTTCAACTGTTGTACTTTTGTTGTTTCACTCTGCAGTTTACATCTTGTCTTAGGAGCAATCCTAGAAAATAAACCCTAGGCTTCCTTTTGCCCCCACAATGTACTTTGCACAGAATAGAAACTTAATAAATGTCTGATGAGTTGATAATCCAAATTGTATAGCAAACCTTTTTATCATTCCTGAAAAGCAATCGATGAAATGCAATTATTTTCAAAATGATCTTCAGAAGCCAACCATAAAAACAGCGCTCTCCATGATGTATTACCTTGTGCTTTCCGGTTTCCCAGTTTGGAGCTGCAGCATAAACCTGCATTTCTAAGCCTCTCCTACCAGCTGAGGTTCCTTTGTTGCTATAAACGAGGGTCCAGAGAAATACAATCGGCAAGGAGTCTTGAGACTTACTACTCATGCAGTGTACATAATCCACACTACTCCCTCAGGGGAGTCCTGCACTCATTAAACTAATCGAGTTGTCCTGCCAACAAGATAGTCCCTCGGTAACCACTCTCTCCACTCCGACACCGCCCTTTCTCCCTCCGGGACACGATAAGCCCCACCGCCTCCCAAAAGCGTTTTTTAACTACCCAAGTTAGGAATACTGGCTCCTCTGAACATCTGGTGTAATTAAAAAGGCCCAGGACCTACTGAAGAGGAGCAACGAGAGGTCTTGGCCGGAAAGAACGGGAGGTTGGAGTAGTCAGCCAGAACCTGGGCAAGAGTCGAGATGTGTCCGGCACCGGAACGGGTAGCGAGCAGGCTGAGCCCTCTGGGACCACCAGTCAGTCATCCGACCCCGACCGCGTGCCGCGCCGCTCCCCGGCCAGGCTCACCTTCTCGGAGCGGATCCGCTTGCTGTCGGTGTAGCGGTGCTTCGGTAGCGGCGGCAGAGGCAAAGTCCCGCTGGGGTGCGCCTGCAGCCAAGCCCTGGCCTCCTCGTCCTCCTCGTCGTCCGTACTCTCCAGAGGCTGGCTCTCGTAGGTCAAGTCCGCGTCCAGTTCCCGCGCGTCATCGTCCTCCACCATCACCACCTCAACCTCGTCCAAGTTCGTCTCCGTCTCCGTCTCCGTCTCCTCCGCCTTCTCCTCATCCTCCTCCTTCTCCACCTCCTCCTCCTCGTCCTCCTCGTCCTCCTCCTCTTCCTCCTCGAGCTCACCGGGCCACGGCAGGTCTTCGGGCTCCATCTTGGCGACTCGCTCTCTGAGGCTGAGGAGGAGGAGGGGAGGGGAGGGGGGGGGGGGGGGGGAGGAACGCGGGGTCGCCCCAAGCCCGCTCCCAGCTCTGACCGGTGCCCGCCTAGCGCCCCCCGCCGCGCCGCGCGGAAGGGGCGGGGCAGGGAGCGAGAGCGCTCGTTGCTAAGGACGCCGCGTCGGGGCGCGGGGAAGGCCCCGCGGGGCAGGAGGCGGGGTGGCGACCGTCGACGCCATCGCCTCGACCCCCGTCACCAGCTGGGCCCTTGCTCACCGCACTGTAAGCTCACAATAAACCTGGACTGGGCGCTTCTCGCGGGAGGGGAGAATATAGTCTTCGGCTGTACCAGGCTAAAACTGAATTTTGCCCCTGCACTGAGCGGAGATTCAGACCCCAGGACAAACCCATAATAATCAGATTTGCAAATTATAAATTGTTAGAGGTTGAGTGCCTACGATGTGACAGGCTGAACCTAACAGTGGAAAAGTGTCAAGGGCGATAGAGGAGTTAAGTAAGAAATGGGCTGTGGTATCCAAAAGATGGGAGTTTAGTCATGGGTACTGCTCCCCAGCCTGCCTTGGTTCTTGCCTTTTTGGGTCAGCTATTCACACTTAATGCTATGTAACAAGCAATCACAAAATCTCAGTGACCTATAATAAAAAGCACTGTTTCTTACTTGCACACCAGCTGGTTGCCAGGGGATATCTGTTTCAGGCTGCAATGTATGAGTTGGCTAGAATGTCTTTACTCCACTTTCATTATTGTGGGACCAGCAGGTTACCCAAAGAATGCTCCTTCCACGACAAAGGTAGGAAGCTCCAGAGGTGAGTGGAAACACAAATGCCTCTTAAGGCCACAGACACATTGTTACTTCCTCCCACACTTCATTAGCCAAAGCAAATCACACAGCCCAATCCAACCTCATATTTCTCCCATGGAGGTTGACAGAGAAAAAGAATAAATATTTACTGAATAACAAGACTAACATATGATACCACCCCTTTTCCAAGTCTGGTTTCCAGTTTTCCCTCTGGTTCTAAGGGCCCTACAATATCCACTTAGCAGGTTCCTTTTCTGCTGAAGCCAGCCAGAGTCAGTTTCCGTTGCCTGAAACCAAAATCGCTCACTGATCCACAGGAGGAAGGTGGAGCCCTGGGGTGCAGCTGTCAGACTTGAAGCACTCAGAGACCAAGTGCATAAGATGGTTAGATGTCATAAAGGGTGTGAATGAAGAAACAGGAGGCGTTGACTGGAGATCAAAATATTGGAGTTTAAAAGGCCCCAGGTGTGGCTACCAGAGTGGGTTCCTAAAACAGGTTTTCCCGTGTGGTTATTAAAACCCCCTGGGATAGAGACAGAAGCTGAATTAGAAGGTGGGTCAGATGCCACATTCTCCCTGCACACTACCCAGATAAGTGACAAAGAGGGCCATATGGACATCAGAGGGACAGGAGGGAAGGGAAGACTAAGGTTTTTTTGAGTGCCAGGCACTATGATGGATATTTTACAATCATTACCTCTTACCTTCCCAACATATGAGGAAATCAAGGCTCAGATAAGTTAAATAATTTGCCCAAAATAACCCAGCCAGTAACAAGGAGTGCAATATGGCTTCAAGCCTAGTCTGTCTGACTATACAGTCTATGCTCTTTCCCATCGAACCATACAGTGTAGAAGCTTCCAATGGGGCAGTAAGAGCCGGCACAGCCCAAGTCCTAGCCCTGTTGTTAGTGAAACATAAGAAACTGTCAACATCCCCTGCAGAGGCTGCAAGGACAGCTGTGTCCTCAGGAGCAAGCCGGTGTCAGTTAAGGGTGGGATGAAGTGAGAGGCTATGGAGACAGGGAAGGTTGTCTACAGTTGTAAGACAGTTTTGGAGAAGGAAGTCAGCAGTAGTGGACAAGCCAAAGAAGATTTGCAAAATTATGCAGATGAAAGCCCTACAATGAGAGGAAATAGAAGAAGCTTGCATTTTTGGACATGGCTGAAAACGAAGAAACCTAGAGGTATATAACTAGTTTCCATCGTAAACAATTCTCTACAGAGGAACAAGAGTGATCCAGTGAAATCATTAATCTGAGCATTTCATATCTCTATTTGAAAACCTGCAAGGGCTTTCAACCTCATTCAGAATGAAATCTAAAGTCCTAACCATGACCTATAAAAGCCTACATGATCAGGCTCCTAATTGATACCTCCAGATCTAAACTCACACTCATCCCTCTTGCTCACCCTACTCTAGCCTTGCTGGCCTCTTTACAGTTCTATAATACGCCCACCTTAGGGCCTTGCAGCTGCTGTTCCACTCCCTGGAACACACTTCCACAGAGTCTCTGCTTATTTTACCAGAAAGGCCTTCTCTTATAACCCAATACACCCATACTCTTATTTTTCTTCTTAGCACTTATCACCACCCAACATTTATTTGTTTGTTTATTGTATCTCCCCTACACTAGAATGCAAACTCCACAAGAGAAGGGATTTTTATCTCTTTTACATTCCACACATGCCTAGTGCCTGAAACAGTGCCAAGCATATAAGAAAGTGCTTGGTAAACATTGTTGAATGAAATGAATGGAAATTTAATTGAATTGGCTGGACAAAAGATTCTGAATAGAACTTCAAAACAAATTTGGTTTCACTGGGGCTGATAAAGATGTCTGCCTACTGGAAAACCTTTAATTTCCTTTCCCAGCTGTTTCCTGGGGCCATTAGGTGAGCAGAAAGTGAAGTGCACTCCAGGTGCTTAAGTGGGTGGAGGGGAAGCTGATTATAACCTGCAGTTGAATCCCCGTGGCAGATTCTCCCGTAGAGTGAGTCATTTCCACTGACGGCTAATCCATTAATAGCTTCGTTTTCATAAAGCTTTTGTAATCAGAAAAAAATTGTGAAAGTTAATATGTAACACATATAGAGAGAAATTTTGCTTTATATATGTATGTGTCGTTCTGTGTGTGTATGTATATAATAAATTCAGTATGTATATAATAAAGCCAGGGAGGACGATATGAAATATGCAATAAGTTTCTATTTCTGTGAGTACAAAATTACAGTCTCAACTCACTGATCCCCTTAAGGGTTGCTACCATGTCACTGGTTCACAGCTGGATGCTGTTGGCAGCAGTTGGGTATCTAAATGTTGGTAGCTGGGTCAAATTTAGTGAAGGGAAGTCCATATTGTTGAGTTCATACATAGTACCCATACCTGCCACTAAGACTGCTTAGTTCAGGTACCCAGCATACTCTGGAGTGTGTTCTAGACACCTGCTACCCAATTCCATAGGACTTTACTGTTTCTCCACTGGGTTCCATGAGCTATTAATTCCCTCTCCCCCAATATTAATTGGAGTCTTGCTGCCTTTTGCCTTATCTTCCCCTGATGATCAATTTCAAATACCCCATAATTCTTTAAGGGCCTTTTCCTTGAGACACACTCTCAAACTGTTCCAATTGTTGTTCTTTGGTTACAAGCAATAGAAATGATCCGGTCAACTATTTTAAAAAGAAATGTATTGGAAAAATATAGTCTAGCTCCATACTATGTGAATCAGAACTACCCAGTCAATTCACAAAATTGTAAAAGGTAATAAACGGTTGTTGTTTTAAGCTATTAAACTTTAAGGTGGTTTGTTATACAACTTAAGATAACCAAAACATCCATCTTATATCAAATAGTAGAATAAAGATACAAGGAAAATTAAAATATGTAGCTCTAAGTAGATATTTAATTGCATGTATGTAATTACATATATATATGCATAATGTGAGGAAAAATAAGGTGACTCCTAGAGGTCTCATTCCTACAACTGAGCACAAGTTACACAACACAACTGTAATACTATAACATCTAGTTCATGTCCCTTTCAACCTGCATCTCAGCCTGCATCTCAGCAACTCTTCTATTAACTTTTATTACTAGATATATCATTTTTAAGAAGTGTTCCAGAGGATCATTTGTGTTCCACATATTCTTCATGCAATTTTGTAGCACCGTTCTTATTTTCCTTTGAAAATAATATTTCCCTTTTATAATCCTCAGCCAAATGGTAACTTTCTTTTTGTCCTATTACTCCAGTTACATGAGAAGCACTAAATGGCCAGGTGATAATTTCAACTTGCAGTTCAGTGGAACTTTTGCATTTATTGTCCAATGGTGAAAACATTAATTCCTTGGGTACTAAGTCTTCTAAACCAATAGAACCAAAAATTGAAGGAACGAGGAGTAAACATTTTGCAAATGGGTCATTAGATGTAATATTGAAAAATAACACTACCATTTTTACCCCATTTGGTCCTCAGATCCAGGTATTCTGACTATAGGAGAGAGAGCACTGTTTATTGGTTACTAGTTCAGAGCATGTATAGCACGCACACCCCTCCCCTGACTTCAGCAGTTGTCGTCCAACTGGTTCAGTGACTGAGTCTTAACTGGCCACTTACCCATTCTATAACTTCAGCTTTTACTGGGTGATGAGATACATGATAAGACCACTAATTTCTCTATGTACCAGCCCATTGCCTTGCTTCTTTCTTAGCCAGAAACAATATTGTGCAGAATATCATGACCAGGAATAAGGTATTTAGGAATTTTAAGGATTATGTTTGTAACAGAAACATGATGAGTAAGAAAGACAAATCTATTATTTAGAAAATGTCTATTCTGGCAGGGATCCAATAAAATCAATCTGCCACCAGGTGGCTGGCTGGTCTGCTCAGGTTATGTTACCATATTCAATGCTCACCATTGTTTGTTTGTTTTTCCCCAGCTTTATTGAGATGTAATTAATATATAACATTAGGTAAGTTTAAGGTGTATATGATATGATGATTTGATGCATATATATTGTGTATCACATAAAAATGAATACCACAATAAGATTAGTTATCTATCACCTCACATAATTAACATTTTTGTGTGTGCGTATGTATATTTGTGTGTGTATGTATATGTTGTATGTACATATATATACAACATATACATATACATAAACATACAACATTTTCTTTATCTACTGGTTCATCAGCAGACACTT